GGGGGGGGTAGTGGGGTTGAATTGAGATCTCTTAATCCAGCAGTGGTTAAGCAAAGAAAGGTAGCAAGACACAGGGTTCCGGATATGCATCCCATCAGTCTTAGACCTTTGTGAAGCCGCGTAAAAACGCGGGAATATTCAAACATGACGCTGTTCACTTCGCAAGGAGGCGCCGCGGCCGCAATAGAGAGCACCAGCGTGTTGCTCCACGCGCCATCACTCTCGGGAAGCACAAGGTCAAAGTGATCATTGCGTTTGACATCGAGGTGTCATTTAAGAGCGGGTTTGACCTCAAAATGAGCTCGAAATCATGTCAAACTGACGCGCCTTATTGCCGTCCCCTATGGGCATCAGCAGGCGGTAGAGGAGTATTAGTGTAAAGACAACACGACAGATAACAGCCACCCGCTCGGCCTTCACCTCGGCCCTCCTCCTCGACCGCGGCGTCAACACCGCGAGAGCATATATTACCGAAAGCAAGGAGGTGCTGCTCACAGTGCACTGAACGCGCGCGATACAGCCCGCACCGCTCCTGTCCCGTGAACTGAGACTTTCAAAGTGTTTTGTGACTTCCAGTTGCGCAAGACGATGGGCAGCGGACGGGCCATAGACAACCAGCGTGACGGGCAGCCGAGGTCTGTTGAAGTGTCAACTCATGAAAATGTAACATTATTATTCATTTTCGTTATCAAGAAAGACGATGCAAATCGTGCATGGCACTGTCCCCGCAGGCCGGTGGTAGTGGACGTGGACACCGGGACGGACGACGCGCTCGCGCTGCTCCTGCTGCTGGCCGCGGACGCCGTCGGCGAGGTGAAGCTGTTGGCGGTCACGTGCACGGCGGGCAACACGCTGCAGCAGCACGCCGTCCGCAACACCCTGAGGCTGCTCAGGGCGGCCAACAGGCTCGACGTGAGTATCGCTTGACGGCGAGGGAGTCCTGCGCCCTCCTTGGCCTGCAGCACGTGAAGCCTCACACGCCCCTGTCTGCCCCCTGTCGACAGGTCCCGGTGTACGCGGGCGCCGAGATGCCGCTCTTGTCGGAGAACATGGAGATCCGTCAGGAGGAGTACCACGGCAAGGACGGCTTCGGAGACCTCGACCACCAGGTACGTCACGGCCGCTGTACGGCACCCACACACAGGAAAGGGACTGCCCAGAAAGAACCGTCCGTTTTCCTCGCGTTTATTCGGTAAATGACGGGAACTCGACGCCTGCGGGACTCGGGGTAGGCCAGCCCGCAGTACCCGCATGCAATGCAGGATAGTTCTTGCCTACCTATCAGGCGCTATGAGAGCTTGTAAGGGCGAGCTGAACTGGGAAATTTCGTAAAGCAAAATGACGGACGTAACTTACTTTCTGGATGATCCCGAATCGTTACCTTGCGTGATAAAAACATAATCACGCCTTTTCTCTTACATACGGAGTTTTTTCGTTGAACAACAATTCATACTGTATTAAGTTAAAGATTGTTTGTTCGATTACGACAAATTTTTCCTTAAGTAATAGAAAAAAATCGTTATGTTTATTGAAGAAAACTTTCCTTGATTAAAAGGCTAATTTCAAGGGAATTCCTAGTTTTAATTGAACTAGCGATTCTCTGGGTGCACGAACGGTGGAACTTATCGATACACGCGCTCTCTCACTCTCCCACCGCCAGTCTTTCCCCGGGGACGACGCCGACCTGGACGGCCTGGTGCAGCAGGAGAGCGCCGTGGTGGCGCTCGCCAGGATCGCGTCGGAGCAGCGCGGCGAGCTGACGCTGGTGTGCCTGGCGCCGCTGACCACCGTGGCCCTGGCCGTGCGCACCTACCCCGCCCTCCGGAGGAACCTCAAGGAACTCCACGTCATGGGCGGCAACAGCATGGGTGAGTCGCCCATTCTAGTAACACTAAACTGTCGCACATACTGAAATTGTTGTTTCATCAGCCAGCAATCGCGACGATAACGAAGAGCCAAACCGAGAGCCAAACTGTTTTTTGTTTGTTGCTAGTAGTACGATTGTTGCTGGTCTATTGAATTTAAACTATCAAATATTCTGTTGCATATATTTGTATATTGTATGTATTGCGGTTTCTGGTTGAATCCAAGTCAGTGTGATTTATCGCCATCATCACGATGGCTGGCCGAGAACGGTTGTGGTTTCGAGGAAAAAAACATGGTTTGGCGATAGAATAGTTTTTCTCATTACGTGGTATATCGCACCGACAGTCCGTATCTTTATTTTGACTTTTGTACGACTTTTCTGTGCTACCTGGAACCAGAGCTTCCCCCGCACCCACTCACTTTGAAGTGGCGGTGTGCGTTGTATTAAAGATCTCATGTTAGTAGTAGTTAGAGCTTTTAAGCTGAACGAAAGTAATCCACCCAGGGCACTTAATGGGGTGATTTTATCTAGGCCTCTAAACGCCGCTATCAGCCTTAAAGTAAGGGCCGTGAAAAACATACCCCACCCCTCCTGAAAATAGAAATAGGATCAATTTTGTACCGCCTTCACCCAACCAACCGCCCCTAGGTCACGGTAACGTCACTTCCACGGGCGAGTTCAACTTCGCGTGCGACCCGGAGGCCGCGCACATCGTGCTGGACAGCGTCACCTGCCCTGTACACATCACACCGTGGGAGACGTGTGCCGACAGCCCCATTGAACTGGTATGTCAAGACTTTGCACGGTGTTTTTTTTTTTTTCGGTGACTGGGATTGGGGGTACTTTTATCATGGCTCTCTAAATCAATGAGTTCAGGGCTCGTCAGGGTTGATAGCCCTGCACCGAGCGAGCTATACGAGAGCTGCCAGAGACCCCTTCCTCGACACGTGAGAGTGGGGTGGGCGGTATAGGCATGGGAATTTAGCATTTAGCTCGCGTAGCTCGCTCTTTGCAGGGGGCTCCAGTTGATAGTAGAAGCTGATGACTGTGCCCAACCAGTCGAAATGCTACCCGCAAGGAAGATCGCGATCCTATCTACAACCGGTAAAAACGAGCCCTGGGATTCCTGGAGGTTTTCTCCATTTTCCAGGGGAGCTGGAAGAGTCCCAGGGGGTGTCCTATAGGTTTTCCAACAGCTCCCGGGAAATAATTGCTTGTTTGCTGGGAATCCCAGGACTCGTTTTTAGCGTGGCAACCAGGGGTTCGACTAAAGTGCCGTGTTAAAAGTACCCCACTTGCCCCTAGGAGAAGGTGTTTTGACGTCGTGACCCCCACCCTTCTTCTCCGCAGGACTGGCGGTTGGGCGAGCTGGTAGCGAGCGGCGGCGGCCTCGCCATGGAGCTGGTGACGGCCGCGGACCGGAGCGTGCTGACGGCGCACTCGCGGACGCACTGGGTGACGTGCGACGCGCTGACCGTGGCGGCGCTGCTGCGGCCGGCCCTGGTGGCGCGCGCGAGCCCGCGGCACGTGGCCGTCGAGCTGGCGGGCTCCAGGACGCGCGGCCAGATGGTGCCGGCGTGCGTCCTGCTGCGCGGCGCCTGCCCGCCGGCCTGCCCCGGACCGGCCGCCCGCCTCAACCGGGACGCCCCCCCCGCGCGCCTCATCCACGCCTTCGACGTGCCCGCCTTCAAGGACCTCCTCCTGTGGGCGGCCCCGCGCTGGACCGCGCCCCCGCGACCGACGACGACGGCATGACGCCGACGTCACGTTAGCGTCAACAAACGCTCCGCGCTCGGCAAAATATTGACGTTTTCTCGAATCCTGCCCCGTTGAATCGACAACACGTGATATGTACTTTGTATATAAATATATTTTGAGAGGAAAGAAGAGAACGCTGGCTAATGTGCATGTTGATCGGTCGCCTCCTCCTTGTTGGTGCTAACAGGCCCCTCCCCCACCCACTCTCCCTCAACAGAACAGATCAAAAAGCCATCAGAAGCCCGGGCGCGCGCCGGAGGCACAGATAAGCGCGCTCTAGCTCAGGTTTCAAAGGCGTTATCAAGGTGCCCCCCAGCCGGGCGACGGGAGGACGACGAGGGGCCGCGCTGCCCAGCCCCTCCTGGACTCGAAGGCAGCTGCGCGAAAGCAAACTCGATTTTTTATTTATTTTGTTCCATCGGTACACGAAGAGACGCCCACATCCAGAAAAATCGTTTCCTAGAAGAACCTTAAGCCAAATTTGATGTTTTTCCAATAAAATTTCTTTGGTTTAACGACAAAAATGCCTCGAGTTCGCTCGAGTTAAAGACTTTTCCTCGAATTCAGGCATTTTTTTTTTCAAAGAAAAGAAAAGAATCGTTCTGTTTATTTAAGGCCAATATTGTTGATTGAAGGCCACCTTCAATGAAAGTCCCTTGTTTTTAAGGAAGCGACAGTCGTCTCTGCAGCCAGTAGAGCGCCTGCGCGTGGCCAGGGTGGGCTCGCCCGCCAGTGCGCGCTGGTGGGCGGGTGGCCTATCCCCACATTCGCAGGCGCCCTTGCCGCGCTCGCCGCTCGTCCTACCGTAGCCACGCGCTGCACAGCCCAAGTGAGAGCGTTTTGGGCAGGTTATACGCAGTATATCAGTAAAGTAAAGTTGAAAGTGTTGTACCAGCAGGTGGCTGACTTACGCAGCGCACTTTCGTAGTTACACCTTACCGGCATATGCACGCGTGTGGGTGGGTTGCCCACTCGCACTGGGCTTTGAGGGCAGGGTATGAGGATAGGCAAACCCACCCGCCCCCGTACATACCGTATAGTCTAACAAGGAAAGTCAGCCACCTGGTAAAGTTCGCCAGTTCAAGCGTAAAGTTGTGAGCTGTGAGCTCGGTTATTTAGTTATTCGCCTGTTAGAGTAAAGTCGGAAGGTTCTCCAGCTCAAGCGTAAAGTTGTATTAGGTAGCTGATTAACCCCGCTCATTACCGTAGTTAAGCTGTACCGCATGCACGAGTGCGGTCGGGTTGCCTGCTCGCTCGGCCCGTAAGGCGCCGTGCAGGGGTCTTAGGCAGATAATTCGGGTGTATTTAAATTTTCCGACCTATTTTTCTCCGACCTGGCGATTTATCCAAAATCCCCAAAAGTGCTGTCCGAACTAGGTTTTGTCCGACCTAATTTTTTCCAACCTCATCGATATGCTGAAATTTTGGAAAATGAGGCTCCTGCAGTTGTACTTTACTTTACCGAACGTTTGGTTTTCCTACCCCGAGGGGGCCGTAGCGCCTAACGGGCATTGCAGGTAGGCAACACGCACGCCTGCGTGCGGTACAGCATAACCACGACGACTGGCGGTTCGCCTACCCCAGGTGGCCTTACGGGCAGTGCGGCAGTGTAGCACTAAGCTTTAGACGTAAATCACCTCCGTGCAACCGGCAGTTAAAATACCTCTTAGAGCCGGATTCATTTTACCTACAAAATTATCAAAAATGAAAAAAATGTGGGCCCTACCCACCCCGCTTTGACACGGGGACCCGCCTGCTTAACTTCGGAGTTCGGAATGGGATCCGGTGTTTTCAGGCACCCAGCTGAGGGCCGGGTTTCTTGACTATCTCGCTCACACCGGAGTTTACAGCCATCGACTAGGTTCCCACCTGTCCGCTTGACCGGGAATGGGGGGTAGGGCGGAGGGAGTTAGAAAGAGAGGAGACGGGCGTACGGTGGTTAGCCTGTACTGCACCCAGATGCGATCCGAGCGGAAAGCTTCCGAGTCGTG